AAAGAGAGAAAGAAAGAAAAGAACCGTGTCGTAGAACATAGTCATGCCACAATCCTTTTTCCTCCATCTCTATCCCATCAGGATTTTGTGTGCCCAGTGTTGTTTTTTGTTTGTTTGTTTGTCTGTCTGTTTGGTCAGAGGATACATGTGCTTACCAGTGAGAGACAGAAAGGGAGAGGGAAAATGCACTCCCAGTGGGGTGTGATGATGCAATTTCTTCTTCTCCATTCCTCCATTGTGTTGGGATTTGGGGTGGGAATGTTATCCTTTACATGATAGGAGCTTTCCTTTCCAATGGACTTCAGCACCTGAAAAGGAACCCTTAGTACTACTTTGTTCAATGCCAGATTTAATTCACTTATTAGCTAATAAATAAAACTTAGAAATTAAACTTTTGACTTTAACGACAGACATAAGATTCCCTCCAACCACTTAAATGACAGTAACATTGAATAACATTATTTTGATATGTATCATCTACATATGTATCATATGTAGTATCAAACAAATGTATAAAAATCCAGTGATTATAAATTGTAAGTCTTTTGAAAATTTCAACATTATAGAACTTTATTTATTTTTGTTACTTTATCAGAGTTATAGTAGCCTTACTACTAGATAGAAGGTTATTTACTAAGATTATTTTACTAAGGTTATTTTTGTACCTTTTGGGGATTATAGAGTATTCTACATCCCTTTACAGCATTACCATTCATCTCAGATTATGGTTCAGTGTCTGATGGCTGAGTGTTCCACAGGCATCCCCCCAAGTGACTCCAATTGCAGAACTACCTACTGAGCCATTTCCATTATTTTATTAGTATTATTTCTTAAACTTTTTTTTTTTTTTCCTGAGAGGTTTTTGCTATAGGGTGCATGCGCTCACCCTAGAGACAGAGAGACAGAAAGCAAGAAATCACTCCCCAGGGGGGATGGCCACATTGCAATCCCTTCTCCTCCATTCTCCTCTCAGGGATCTTGGGCACGCACACACATGTACGTGGTGTGAGTTTAAGCCACTGGGTCCGGGACTCTAACCGTGGTCGACTACGTGGGAGTCCAGCGACATAGCCATTACACCAACTGCTGGTCCCATATGTCTTAAACTTCTTTCGACTAAGTGGGACCTTGTAAACCTTACCTTATATATGGATTTTAGCTCCTTGCACCCTGGTGCAGCTCTTCCAAGTATGGTTTTCAGTTTTTGTCTAGTGGGGGTTTTGTAATCCATTACCTGTAATTATCACCTGTTGATCTTATATACTACTAGAAACTTAGATATGCCCTCGTAGAATTGTCTTCTAATTTAAAAAGAAGTCAAGTTGGAGACACTGTTTCCAGAAGATGAGTTGAAGCTCTACAAGCATCTCTTGAGGTCCTTTGACTGAGTCCTGCCCAGTTTCTGTGTTGGAA